GTTGTTGATTCTATTGTTGCTAATTTTTTTGTTCAATAATATCGTTTTTATTAATAATATGAGTTTCAGAAATTTAGTTTTACCATTTAATTATTTTATTTATGTAAATATGTCAAATCAAAATGTAATACATTAGAGTTGAAAAAACATGTTAAATTTGGTTTGTCCGAATATTTTAAGTAGTATTTAAAATACAAAAAAATTATTGAATATTTTAAAATATTAAAATATATAATCATAAATTTTATAAATAAAACGCAGATAAAAAAATTATTGTTTTCGAATAAAAAAATATTTTTATTACTTTCAAATTTTCTAGAGTAAAAAAAACTTCAAAAGAACTACATTTTTTTTTATAAACTTGGGAATTTTTTGTTACAAACATATCAATATTTCTTTTAAAAATTTATTCTTGTGTAGATTTTACTAAAGATTTTCATATTTTTAAATTTGGAGTTGATGATACATAAATTCCGGACCATAATAAGTTCATTATTAATTAAATATCAAAAAATGCTAATTTTTTTTATTAAAAGCTTTCAATATTTCTATTTATCAAAGACTTTCATATTTAAAAATTAGATTGATGATACATAAATTTCAGAGCAACCAAATTCAACACTTTTAGATTTATAGTTGCTCATATATTTTATTTCTGAGATATTCTTAAATTTCGGATAGACAAATTTGTGGAGATAACGATTTTCATAATCTTGTAAACGTCAGATTAATCTTGTGTAGATTTTACTAAAGATTATCGTACTTTTACTTTGGAGTTGATGATGATACATAAATTTACATTTGGACCGAAACGACATGTAATCGATTTATTTAATTGGCTTTTTTGGTTGAACATACTTTTTTAGAAATAAAGTAAGATCCATTAAAATCCAAAAAGAAATTATTTTTAAAAGTAACAATAACTAAAATCTCTAATCAAATAATCGAAAGAAAACATGTAAAAATAATCTTCTATTTCGTGAGATTATTTTTTGATAATCACTTCTTAACTTTATCAATAGAGTCATCATCTCATCCTCCTTTTGAACTTGACTAATTTTAATTATTGAGTTTGGGCTAAGTTTAATTAGGGATTAATAGGCTAAATTAGAGAGAATGTCATGTCATATTTTAAGGAATGTCATGTCACATTAAAATTGGGAGAGTGATTTTGGTGAAGACACCTAAGATTTTTTTGAAAAATCACTTTCCGATTAATATATATAAGGGATATAAACCGGTGAAACAAAAATAAAATCCTAAACCGATATTTATCATGAAAACATGTACAGCCTATATAATTTGTATGAACAAAAACTATAAATATATAAGTTTGTAATGGTTTGGTCATTTTAAGCCCATTTAGCTAAGAGTGACATGATCCCAGCACCAACAAGAAGAGAGATATGGGCCATAATTTGAAGCCTAGTGTTAGATTGCATCTTTGGATGCATAAAGTCTGCTGCAAGAAAGTCCACCAAAGACATGTAAATGAGTATTCCCGCAGATGCAGCGTTTAGGACTCCTTGGACGATCAAAGCCGTTGGGCTAGACTCGTTATAAGACC